TATAAACTATAAATATAAGTTAAATATAGTTAACATTAATATAAACTATATAGTATATTAATATAAACTATAGTTTATAAATTATATACTATAGGTTATAAACTATATAGTATACTAATATAAACTATTGTTTATAAACTATAGGTTACATATATAGTTTATATAAACTATATATAGATTGTATATATATAATATATATACATAATATATACTATAGGTTACATATATAGTTCACATATAAATAGATTGTATATATACATATACTATAGGTTATATATATAGTTTATATATACTATACATAGTTTATACATACATGTACTATAAGTTACATATATAATTTACATGTATACATATACTATAGGTTATATATATTAACTATTGTTTATAGACTATAGGTTAAGGTTACATTTATAATTTATATAAACTATTGTTTATATAAACTATATATGAATTGTCAACTGTGTCTATACATATATAGTTTATATAGTTTAGGGTTTATGTTTCTATAAATTATATACTTTATTACTTTATAGTTTATGCATAGTATTTCTATAAACTATATACTTTATTACTTTATATATATATATATAGAGAGAGAGAGAGGTTATATATACTATACATAGTTTATGCATATATGTACTATAAGTTAAATATATAGTTTACATGTATACATATACTATAGGTTACATATATTAACCATCGTTTATAGACTATAGGTTAAGGTTACATATATAATTTATATAAACTATTTTTTATATAAACTATATATGAATTATCAACTGTGTCTATACATATATAGTTTAGGGTTTAAGGTTTCTATAAATTATATACTTATTACTTTATATAGTTTATGCATAGTGTTTCTATAAACTATATACTTTATTACTTTATATATATATATATATATATATATATATATATATATATATATATATAATCTATAGATTACATATATTAGTTATACATACATATATATACTATATTAATATAGATTAGAATTTATAAACTATATACTTTATATAGTTTATACATATATAGTTTATATATATATCTATATTAATATAAATTATAGTTTATAATCTATATACTTTTTATAGTTTATATACATAATTTATATATAAACTTATATTATAAATAAATTATATACTTTAATACTTTATATAGTTTATATATTGTTTACACATAATTCATTAATAAATTTTACAGTTTATATGTAAACTATATAATTTTTAATGTAAATTATTTATATAGTAATATATATGTACTTAATATACTATATACATAAATTTTATATATTATATATTTATATATATAAATTACATAGTTTATTAATAAACTACATGTAAACTACATATAAACTATATATATTATATATTTGTATTTATATATATTTATATTATATTTTTTTAATTTTTTAAATGAATGCACTTTATTCTATTTTTCATTATTTATTCACATTTTGCATTTATTTCGATTTCATCCTTTTGTTTTTTAATTTATTTTAATTTTAAGTCTTTCACTTTTATATGTATTCAATTTAGTCCTTAAATTTTTTAAATGTGTAAGAACCAATTTACTAAAGGAAATGTCAAAATCTATAATTAATAAAAATATTTTTTTCCAAAAAACCTACTTACTAAAGAAATATCATCTAAAAATATACCTTTTTGTTATATTTAAAAATTTTAAAATGTGTAAGAACCAATTTACCTTAGTGGTTAACGTATAAAGGAATTGTTATCATTCTGGAGGACATGAGTTTGAGCATAAACAATTGTAAGGGTGATTGAAAATTCATTGTCAAATAATGAAGAATATTTACAATAAATATTATTTTGTAATCACTTTGGCTTAATAAAAAATTAAAAAATTAAAAATACAATATATGCTTCTTTTAACCAATTGTATGCGAACTTCTAGTTTATATAATAGGAACTCATTGACTTATTAGTTAAAAAGGGAGTATTTTGTTTAGAGGTGTCAGATTTAAACAAGTATATCTATAGAGAGTGTACAATACGTTTTTAATAATTAAGAAATATTCATAATAGATAATAAGTTATAGTTACCATAAATCAATAAAAAATATAAATAATATTAAAATGAACTATTTCTAAAAAAATCAAATAAAAATAACTAGAAATCTTAAAAAGGAGTTTGATGGGCGTTGGTGGTGGCAGTTTGTTGGGAAACAACATTTAAAGATTTGAAAATTAATTAAGGCAGTTATTTGAATTAAAAGTTTTTTCTTTTAGAAAAAAATAAAAGAGGACTTGTTCTAAAATTTATGTTTAATATTAAATATTAATACAAAACATTTAATCTTAAATGATTGAATGTTATATTTAAATAAACATTATATTATATTTATAACAGACTATTAAAAGAATGTTTAATATTAAATGTATTTATGTTAATAGCTTTAATAAATACAAATGGCCTGTTGGTACGGCATCCTTTTAGGCATTTCTCTTCCCCTTTAATTAATTCCCTCTTATTCTTTTCATGGTTTGCTTTTGTTTCTCCTTTTCCCCTTTGGTGGGATTTATCTTTTTATTTTTTATTTTAAATAAATATGTTTTTATTATATAATAAATACGAACAAAATTTTTTCAAAACTGTATTGAAAGAAAATTGGTCATCCACTTAAAGTTATCTGGATCACATAACGTCTTTAAAATGATGCCTAAATTATCTGACGACTTATTTAATACTATCCAACCATCCCTACTATTGTATATGTATGAAATATGAAAATGGTGTTGTATATTTTAGACAAATTTTAAATATCATCGTGTGTTTTTGACGAATTCTAAAAAGCACCGTAGCAAACATCCTACTCGAAAAAATATCACATATATTCTATATAGCCATTTTTTCAAACTATTATTTAAAACTTTTTTGCTGGTACTTATATTTTTTTTAATAGAGATATTATATTTTAATATAAATATCGATATTCAAATCATATATGATATGATGATATTAATATTTTTATCACTCCATCAATTAATTGATCTCAAATACTTATATATTTGATATTTAAATGATAAGTTTTTTCTTATAAAACCTAGAATCCAAAACTACCCTTTTTGGAGAGAAAAAGTGTGTTTTGCCTTTGAAGTGAGATAGGAATGCACTGTTTTTTTCTTTTTCTTTTAAATTTTAACCACAAGAAAAAATCATCAAAATTAAGAGATATAATATTCAAATTTAGAAAATAATTATAGCAATAAATACTGCTTTTACTTTTGGGTCATAACAAGGGGTTATAATGTTAGGCTTCTTCCTTAATATCATTTCATTTTGCATTTTCCCATTCTTTGGCTCTCATTGCTAAGGTAAGCTTTGTTTTTAATTAATTTGCATTTTTTTTCTTTTTAAACTCTATCGTATGTTATTTCTTCATCTGGAATTTTCTTACTCTTTTATTCGCTATTTAATTTTATAGAAACATAAGTACTAATGGACAATAAAAAAATAAACAAAAATAATTAAAACTTATAAACATAAATTAAGAAGAAATAAAGGAATGAAATAGTGCTTCGCAATTTTCATTTTATAATAGTGTTTTGTACTCCATGAAGAAATGGGAAACAAAAAATATACTTTTTTCTTTGATTTGAGATATAAAGTTAATGCTTTAATGGGTTTTTTAAGCAAAGGTGAGATTTTTTTTCTCTTGGAGTTTGAAACTTTTTCCTTTTAAATTTCCTTCTTTGATGGAAGGGCACCATTGCAGCAGTACAACTTTGGGATTCAATCCTTTTTCTTTTGTTGGTTTTCACTTTGTTGTAGAAAGATGGAAGGTGCAGCATTGTATTATATTAGTACACCTCATAGAGTTCCATTTTTTTTTTCATTTTGTTATAGATTGATGGAGGGGCACACACACACCATTGTATTACTACACTTATGGAATTTCAAGCCTTTTCTTTCTTTCTTTCATTTTGTTGTAAATTGTTGGAGGTGCACCATCGTATCAGTACACCTTTTTGAAGTATCTAAGTAATTTTTTCTTTTCATCTTCCTGTGGAAGTTGTACCAATTTTGTTTTAGTACAAATTGGACTTTCGACCTTCTATATAATTTTTTAAAATTTTGTTCTTTGTAGAAGGCACCATTGTATCAGTTCACCATAGAACTAAATAAAGGTGTTTTGATTGGACTTGAAACAGTGTCAGAAAAGAAAGAAACTTGGTTTATTGTAGCCATTGTTAAATGTATGCATGACATTTATAGTATATTGTATATATAATATATCTGTTTAAGTAGCCATTAGATATGAGCGTATCTTTAGAATGTCAGGGGAAAATGTTATAGAGTAATATAGGCCTGTAAACTCTAGTTTCTTTTTAGTATGGAGAAAAAGTTATAAAGAGAGCAAACAGACTTTATCTTTGTTTTTATTGTTAGGTGAAAAGGCTGTCTCCTTTTTAGTATGGAGAAAAAGGTGTGAAGCTTTTTGATGTGTTATTTATTTATTAGTATGATGTTCATTCAATTTACTCTGGAAGTAAATTCATGACCCTGATAGCTATGTTGCAACTTTTGCTTTTTCTTGGACTTTGGATCTCCCTTGTTACTTGGAGTTATTACATCACTTGAGGTTGTTGACCTTATCAATAAGCTGCTGTGCTCTCCTACTTTTTTTTCATTGTCATGTTTCAGTTCTGATATATTGACATTGATATGCCCTTGCTGAATTATTATTTAATTTCTTTTTTTTTATTCTTCATGTTAGTACTTTGCTCCTGTCATTAATTAATTGTTACTTGTTTACTTCTCTTTCAATATATTCCATTTTCTCTCCTTGCATTGTCTGTTTCTCTCCAGTCTTTGGCTCTTCTTCTTGTTCTGCATGCTATTTGGCCTTGTGGGATTCCTTTTACTCTGACTTCATTTCTAGTTGAACAGTCCTCACTTGCATTTAAGTCCATAGTGAGTTAATGGTGGATTTTGTTGGTTGTTTTGAACAGTGAAGGATTTGTCTCAAGTGTGAAAACAAAAGGAATTGGCTATGGCATCAACTTCTTTCGCCAAGCAGACTGCTGTGCCTATGAAGGAACCAGTGTCTAGCTATAGTCCATATCCACCACCTCTTGCAAGATATGAAGATGTTGTTGCTAGTCCTAAGCTTTTTTTGGCTACTTTGGAGAAGCTCCATGGCACCATGGGAACCAGGTTCATGTATGTTTTCTTCTCTGGTGCCTATCTTCTCTTCTTTATGCTTTTGGGTCCCTAACTTTACATGTAAGTGTAGTGTTTCATTTTCCAAAGCAATATAGTCTGGTTTGGCTTGGGAGTCATATAAGCACAATATAGCTTTTCTATGTCTATATATGTGAACATCATAACATGCATATACATACATATGGTGTTACTCTCTAGACTTAATTTTTTGATAATTTCCTTTGCCTCCTCTACTTTGATGTAGGATTCCCATCATAGGAGGAAAGGAGTTGGATCTGCACAAACTTTTTGTGGAGGTAACATCTCGTGGTGGAATTGAAAAGGTAAGATGAAACCATCATGCATCATTTGTTTCAATGTGCCATCCGTTTTATGGCTGTTTCCATTCATACATGAGATTCTTTCAACATGCTTGTGTACATATGTTAAATATGAATGGTGCAATCTTCCCCCAGAAATACTAGGATGAGAGTCTAGTTTATGCTCAATGACTTTGTAGTATTTCTGGTGGAAGATTGCACCATTCATACAGAAGTAAGTTGAAACCATCATACATCATTAGCGTTGTACTATGATGCTCAAATGGTTGTGTTTTAAATTGATCTTGTAGCTTGTAAGAGAGAGGAGATGGAAGGAAATTACTGCTATATTCAACTTCCCTTCCACCGCTACAAATGCATCTTTCGTGCTGCGCAAGTACTATGTTTCCCTGCTTCATCACTATGAACAAATCTACTTCTTTAAAGCCCGTGGTTGGGTCCCTGTTCCTTCCGGTATGCAAATCGAGAACTCAAATTCTTCTAGAATTAATGTTTAAGAGTATTGATCTTAATGTTATATGATAATCTATATATGCAGATCCTCTTCGAAACCAACTTATTCCACCGATTCCTACTCATGGGGCAATGCGGCCAGCAGTAGAAATTCATGCAGCTGCTGTCCAGCAACCAAGAGTAAATATCGCCGAGTCGCCTGCAGGTGCCTTTAGATTTTTATATGCTGATTGAAACTGTCTTTATGTTTTCATTGGTCATTCTCTTTTTATCATGGAGTCTATCTTTCTAGAGTTTCATGATTTGGTCAATTCCAGTGAAGTGTTTTAGTTGATACAGCAGTAAGGCCAGCATCAGCAGCAGGCTCTCCCGTGATTGGGGTGATTGACGGGAAATTCGAGAGTGGATATCTTGTTACTGTCACCATTGGTTCGGAGAAGTTAAAAGGTGTCTTGTATCAAGCTTTACAGGATGCAGCACCCCAAGTGCCACATCAATATGGTGTATATGCCAGCAGGAGTGAGACCGCTCATGCTTCATCAGGTGTGCAACGTCGGAGGCGTAGGAAGAAATCCGAGATAAAACGGAGGGATCCTGCTCATCCAAAACCTAACAGGAGTGGGTATAATTTCTTTTTTGCCGAGCAACATGCAAGACTGAAACCACTTCACCCTGGAAAGGACAGAGAGATTAGTAGAATGATTGGTGAATTATGGAACAAGTTAACCGAATCAGAAAAAACAGTAAGAAACGTTTATTTACTGTAATTCATGAATTTAACATGTTTTATGCTAAGTTTTAACTCCTCATTGTTCAGGTCTATCAAGACAAAGCTCTGAAAGATAAAGAACGATACAGAATCGAGATGGAGGATTACAGGGAAAGATTAAGGACAGGTCAAGTCATCAGTGATGCAGTGCCCCTACAGCAACGACTTCCCGAACCAGATGTAGAAATGACAGAAGCAGATATGAAGCTTGATAAAACCGAAGGTGGTGATTCTCCTGAGACTCAAGAACATGATAGCAGCTCCGATGGAAGTAATTCCGAAGACGATAAAACTAGAGATAAGGATTTAGATAGGGAAGAATCTCTGGTTACAGGTGTCGGCAGTAAGCCTATGAACGAAGACGTGGAGATTTCAGGTCCTGCGGATCGAGAAGTTCAGGATTTAGGGTGAAGATAAACCAATGCCAAGTGAAGGACACTAAAAATCTGCTAAGGTTAACATAAACGTTTCGAACATGAAGTAAGTTTTAATATAGTTTATGATTCACCTTCATGGTTTTATTTCCTATCAGCAGAAGGTTTTATTTCCTTGGATGGGATGAGGGGAGGATCATTTTACTGGCTTGGGTAAGTTTAGTGGGGAGAAATCCCAACCCTTGCCTAAAGATCTCTCAACTAGCTTATGAAAGGCCCTATCTATAGACTTTAGTTGACAACCAAGTGTAGACATGCATCAAGAAAAATTCTGCTGAATAGATATATGATTTCATTCATGTTTTCAAATCTGCAGTGTGAATTCTCTGTTGCCACTTTGGTTTCCTTTGATAAAATCTTGCTAAATATAATCTAGTTGTAATTTGATTCTAATACAACTGTACAAATTATCATTTGCATGATTTTGCCAGCCTCTTGCAACAAAATTTCTAGTCCAAAACAGCTAAAAGAACACAAGAAGTTGTACAATCTAATTAACCAAAATAATGACATTCTGATCTATGGTAAATTTTGATTTAAGATGACTGTGATAGTAAAAGCTGATACAAATATACCAGGACACAAATCAAGACTGCAAAATATGAATCACATCAATTTTTCTCATTAAAATGTATGAAAAATGTCAGGAATTTGAAACTAAAAGAGCATCCCAGATCATGTCCATGTCCAAAGAAGGCATTCTACTTAACTGTACAGCATCCACATCTGATGATGCACACTCCTGAGTTTTCTTCTTATTCTCATTCATTTCAGATTCTTCCTTGTTCTTCTCCTCAAATTGCCACTCTCTTTTTGTTGTGTTCTGGTTTAAATTTTCATCTTTTGCCTGCACCAACGGCGGGTTGCTCGACTTCTTGTTACCAGCAATGCCCTGTGAAACTGCTTGCAACTTGGCTTCAAGAAGTGCAGCAGTGTTCCCATTCAAAGAATTGGCCTTGAGTTGATGCTTAAGATCCGGAAAATTCAAATGTGCATATTCTCCACGTAACATGTATGCCGCTGTATCGTATGCCATAGCCGCTTCTTCTGCAGTGTCGAAAGTCCCTAGCCAAACTCTTGTCCTATTCCTCGGAAGCCGTATCTCGGCAACCCATTTCCCCCAATGTCTTTGCCTTACCCCTCTGAATAGCTTTCCAGATGATGAGGAAGCCGATGACAACGAACCCTTTTGGTCCCCATTTTGCAATCTGCGTCCAGTGTTCTTCATAGGTTGAGTCTTGGTAGTGCTAAGCCAATAATCACTATAACCTCTGGATTCAAATCTTGTCAACCTCTGGTTCATTCCAAGCCATTCATTGCCAGTTTGAGACTGAATCCGACCAAGCTGAGGCATTTCAAATGAATGGTTGTCAGACAAGATCGATCCACGCTCACCCTTTTCGCCAACGGTTCGTGTGGTCGGATCTAACACGGCAGGTTCCTGCGAAAACAAAGTTAATTCAGGGAATTTCGATGGAGAAGGTGGTTCGGAAACTAGAGCTCGGTTCAGTTTCGGAAAAGACTCCAGGGAGTTCACTGGCATATCAGAAACAAGACCAGCAAGTGGGGGAACAGAACTGAACCCTGAACACAACAAGCTCGAATGATGATCATTCAAAACAACCTGTCTGAAAATTCCAGGGATGTTTTTCAACAGATTGGACCCAGTTGAAGTACCACAAATGATTGGATCATTGAGACATTTGGAAGCAGTTGGGATGCCATAAATATAAGATGGACACCCCTTGTTCATCAAAGTTTCTGTTTTAGGAAATTGGTCTTTCCCACTCATATTTTTTGTCCGATAACAGAACAAATACAAGATATATTAAAACGATGCAATTGGAAGTACGATATATATATATTAAGCCTGAATTAATCTCAAGGCTTCTGCTAAAGGTTTACTATAATAATAATTTAGCTTTTTTCAATTGAAACAGTGGTTTGCCACGTGCAAGCCATTATCTTTCTTCAATGTTTTTTTATTATTTTGTTTTTCTTTGTTGGAGAGGAAAGAAGAAAAAAATGAAATTAAGCAAAGAATAGAAAAATAAAATCTTAAGAGTAACATTCATGTTGTATATCGATTCTTTGTCGATCAACGTTCAAAAATCTATCCAGTTTTTTATACTTGAACTCAAGTTCTCACATAATAATAATAATTCTTTTATTATAGAAGTCGCTTGATTCGTGTAATTAATTTTAAGTAATATCTTTTTTATTTGGATATGTGAATCTAAAAATTTTATGTTAGTTTAAAAAAAATGTCTATTTTATAATAACAAAATCGCTTCTAAGATAATAAATTTATCGTAACACAATAAATCCTTTTTTATTTCATTCGATTTATTCTATAATAATTATTAATATTCTGTTCCACAATAATCTCATTTCCTACTATTCGTTTTACTTCCAAACCATTATTTCGAATCAAAGTTAGACTTTACAATGAGATTTAAACTGTAATGGAAGATGTATTAGTTTTTTTTATAGATCTGGAATAAATAAAAGAGACAATATATATTCAAATATTCTTAATCATCTCACAGTGGAAGCTCATATTTTTTACATTTGCGATGCTTAAACCCAAAATCATAAGAGATAATAATAATCTTTTAATAATTGAGATCGTTTGATTCGTGCAAAGTGAGTATTATTTAAATCATAAAATAACAATTTTAATGTAAAGTTGTGACTAATTATTTAAATGAGTGCATTTTACATGAATCAATTTATATGGATGGATATAGTTAGGTCAACCTAATTCATAATTGGTTTCTTTCGTGTGTTTATAATAAAGATAATTTATGGTTATTTAATTATCTTATAATCATCGTAGACTATTTTTAAAAAAATCTATAATTATGTCATTAATTAATTAATTAATTAATTAGTGATTACCAAGGCTTCATTATCAATATTAACATCAACATGATAATAAACTTTTAAATGAAACAAGACTTGTTCCAAAATTGAAATCGATTGCGTTCTCCAATGAGGAAAACATGATTCATGGTTGCCTTTTTTTGTCATAGATCCAACTCATTAATTTAATAAGAATACAAGTAAAAGGCAAATTCATGAACAAAAGGAATATCTTACTTGGCATGTCTGTTGAGAACAATTTGGAGCCACTTAAGCAGCTCATCAAACTTGGACCCCACTCGTGATTACAAATCTTATGAGTTTTGCAGTTATCCTTAAGCTACCTGTTGGAATCAGTGCCACCTGGGAGAGAGATTCCCAAGACTTCATTTCACTTTTGAGCTGATTTAAATTAAACTAATTTCAGAGTTTGTTTAATATGGGAGCACATGGTCTTGGCCATATGCTAAACATAAGTTAATCCAAGTCTAATGCTCGATTAATGAGAACCATGAACTCAATGCTTCTCTAATGTCGAAATCATATGTAGTCAAAGGAAGTGTTACATATGTCGGATTTAAATAATTGAACTTATAAAAGAAAATCTTAAACATATATTACTATATAATCGTTCGGATTTTAAAAGATGTTTGTTCAATGCCGCTTTTCCTTTTCTTTTTCAAGGTTTCTTTATTCCTTCCAGTGTTTCGTGTCAGAACAAACAACAAAGAAAGCAAAATAGAATAAAAACACGTTAATTTGTATTTGTTTATTAAGGAGGGCATGTGGAAACGATGACTTGTTTAAAGCAGTTAATGACAACATTCTTTGCTCCTAATTACAGCTTCTAAAACTTGCAGGTTCGTGTTTCCCAAGCTGGAAGATGAGGATTTTTGGCTTGTAATTCATTCAATCTCTTGCCTCTGTGTTTGTCAGAACATTGCGGATTGATGTAATATTAAAAGTTGTATCTTATATAAACCAAGTAGATTAAACTACAAAGTGTTCAAATAACTAGTTAATCTTTGTTTTGATGTCTTTGTAAATCAAATGGACTTTAATCAAGTGTTGTGAATGATTCAAAGAAGTGTTCCCAATTCCTTAGCATAAAACAGATAGACGAGTCTGTAACTCGCTGCCACTGCCAACTCAAACATCAATCTTGAAAAGGACCCCAAAATACTGTAGTAATATTGTTTTAGGGTAATTGCACCTTACATCCTCAAAAGATGACCCTTATTAGGAATGGGACTTTACTTTCCTTTCCTTTTTAGTTTTATAAGATATCTATTACAGATTTCAATCATTAATTCTTTGTTTATTATAAGTTTAAAGGAATAAACATTGATTAGGAGTTTTAAAACTGTTCTATCTTACATATAAAAATGAAACCTTCGAACAATAATAAATTGGTCTAATGATATAAGGTACCGAATTCTTCAAACAACGTCAAGAGTTTAAATCTTGACATTTGTAAATTGAACAGTTTTGGTTGGGGTGTTGCTCCGATAATGGGCATATGCAAAACTTAATTTATAATAATTGATTAATAAACCAAATACCGATAATTAAACAAAAAAATTATTAGTGTATTTTGATATTCAATATAATAACATAATTGTATTTAAATATAATAGCATAATTATTAGGTGGTGTTTGGTTGGATGGAATCCCTTGGAATTGGTGGGAATTGGAATCTAATTCCACCACTTTCCCATGTTTGGTTCAAGTTTTTCAAGGGAATTGAAATCCCTGATGGAATTTAATTCTATCAAATGAGAGAAAGTGAATTCTATCAAATGAGAGAAAGTGAATTCCATCAAAAAATGGATGGAATTCAATTCCCTTGTTGGAGGGAATTGAAATTTGACCATACTACCCTCATCAATCCTTTGGTAACTTATTCATATATTAAATAAAAATATTTTTTTATTATTTTGGGTCGGGTCGGGTTAAATTTCTAATTCATATATTCGGGTCGGGTCGGGTCGGGTTGGATTTCTAACTCAAAGAGGCAACTGCAGACCCTTCCACGTGTCAAAATGTCAGCAGTCGACAATTATCAACCACAAATTAATTTTATTCTATTCCCATGTTTCTTTTTTTACAATATCATATTTTACCCATTTTATTTAGAAAATTGCTTAAATTTTCCTACTACATTGTTTATTTAAAGAGCAAATATTTTTCGAGACGTTTTGTTTGAAGTTTAATTGTTATCTCATTTGTCCAAACAGTAAACTATGTTAAAAAAACACAATAGTAAATTATATATTTAGTCACCTAATTATTTATGTGGTTTCATTGTTGAAAATCAATGCACCGAAAGTGCATGGTTTGAAAAAAAAATATTTTGTCAACAATTGTAGGCACCGAAAATTAGGTGTAGAAAATGTTGATTTTTTATATGGGCAAATTACAAACTCTAATCACTAAAATTTAGGGTATTTACAAATTAGTCCTTAAGCTTCAACTATAAATACCCTAGCTCATTTAGCTTCAAAACCATCCCAAAGCATTCTAGCTTTCTTCCAATACTAGATTTTAGAGAGTTTCTTGAGAGTTGTTTTCTCCTTTTTATCTAGAGAGAATTATCATTATTTTCTCCTTGGTAGATCGAGAGAGGTTGTAATTCCTATTTTCTCATAGTGAAATTCTTCTACTGTTGCCCGTGGTTTTTACCCTAAATTTTAGGGGTTTTCCACGTAAATTTTGTGTCTCTTTTATCTTCATTTTTATTTTCTCAAATTATCAGTTGCGATTTTGCTCTATCCGATAGCCGTCTTCCGCAACAATTGGTATCCGAGCTAGATTAGAGTGTGTAATATCTGCTTATTGTCTTTGTGGTTACCACCAAAAGGTGGATCCTCCAACATAAGAAAATAAGAAGTTATTACACATTCTTTGAAGGTTCCAGAGAACTATTCACGATAGTTAAATAGTGGGAGCTATCCGTAGAAGAAGCTATGGCAACGAAATTTGATATTGAAAAATTCAATGGGAGAAATTTCTCATTGTGGAAATTGAAAAATCCAGGAAAGACGGGTGTCTAGCGGCTATCAATGAAAGGCCGGTGGATTTCGCAGATGACATCAAATGGAACGAGATAGACGAGAATGATATGGCAAACTTTCATCTAGCATTAGCAGATGAAGTATTGTCAAGCATCGAGGAGAAGAAGACAGCTAAGGAGATATGGGATCATCTCATCAAATTGTACGAGGCCACATCGCTGCACAATAAAATTTTCCTTAAGAGGAAACTGTACACTCTCCGTATGCCAGAATCTACTTCAGTGACGGAGCACTTAAATACACTGAACACCTTATTTTCTCAGCTTACATCCTTAAGCTATAAAATAGGAGAACAAGAACGTGCTGAACTTCTACTTCAAAGTCTACCGGATTCGTACGATCAACTCATCATCAACTTGACAAACAGTAATGTCACCAGTCTAGTCTTCGATGATGTTGCAGCTGCTGTTCTACAAGAAGAAAATCGGCGCAAGAACAAGGAAGACAGACAAGTAAATCTGCAACAAGCAGAAGCGTTGACAACGATGAGAAGGAGATCAACAGAACGTGGCCAAAGCAGCAGTCATAAACATGATAGATCGAAGTCGAGGAGCAAGAAGAATTTAAAGTGCTACCACTGTGGAAATAAGGGTCACTTGAAGAAGGATTGTTGGAGTCTAAATAAAAACTCCAATCCACAAGGCAATACCGCAAACACTTTAGATGATGGAGATGCTCTATGCTGTGAAGCGTCAACCACCGTGGAAGGCAGAAAAATATTTGCAGATATATGGCTCATTGATTCGGGAGCGACATATCACATGACCTTAAGAAGAGAATGGTTCCATCATTATGAACCTGTCTCAGGAGGATCTGTGTATAGTTGCAATGATCATGCCTTAGAGATCGTTGG